ATTTCAACTCACTGAAGTGGCAGCAGTCCCACATTTTTGTTTCCCTGTATTTGGCGGGGATTTTGCTAGAATTAAACCAGCTACTGCTAAAGCTTTATTGGCTGAGAATTATTCATTTCACTCCTATTCAGTCTGTAGGTAAGAGAAGAGACATGAAGCAAGAGAGACATTTGTCTTATTGCCAATTTAGTATTACTTCCCTCACACCCGTCCTGACACCAGTCAGCCAACCTCTGGCTTGCTTCACTTTTTTTACAACCCCATGGACTTCCTTATCCTGCAGCTCGACTCTGAAGGCCATGGTCTTTAAGAAAGTACAATAAGCCTCTATGACTAAAAAAGTCTTAAACTTGCTTATTCAGAAGTAATTTCAATTTCTTTCAATTGTGCTTATCTCCAGGTTAAATAGCTGAAGCCTAGCATTCACATGCATTTTGCACGTAACATTTTGAGTACCTGTCTGGATCATTAACCACAGCATGTATCTGCATCAGAAGATTTGTCATTCTTCCACATATTACACAAAGCTGCCCTTAAATTTCCCAGACCCGATAGACTCTTTTTTTCCTTGGAGCAGAGAATACTAAGATAAGCGATATTAACACTTTGGGATAGAATAGTGGTAGGAAATATTAGTTGAAATAAGCATTTCTAACATGCCATGTTTTTCATTTAGCCAGGGTTAAATTAAATATTTAATTTAGAAATACTTGATTTTGTTCATAGTATCCCTTCCATCCATATTATTGCTGTGGTCTAAAATATTTAAAGTCTTTCTCCTATTCTCATATGCAGAGCCCCTGCATTTACCTTTCTCTGATACTGTCTATTCTTATTTTGGCTTGCACCCAAGACAAATAAGCAAGGATTGATGTTCACCCAGGAGAAGAAAGCTACCACTTCTTGCTTCTGACCTGGCTAAGGTTAATTTAAAAAAAGGGGGGGGGTCATATGTAACAATAGTTGCTCTAGCAGCAGGAAATGGTCAGCTGAAAACTCACATGGAACTGCATTGACATCTCCTTAAAAATGCTAGTTTCCTTTTCCTGTTTTTAGGCCTCCAGTTTACATACAGTATTTTGTAAATGAACCCAATATAACTGTCCAGCCAGATTCTGTACACTACCTATGTTGGCAGTTCTTCAAAAAGGAACTGCTTTTGCTTGCAGTATTTGTAGTTTCTACCTAAATGAAAGATGGAAAATACCTGCTCTTAACTTCCATACAATTCCAGTCTAAGAACAATAACAGTCTGGCAGCAATAATTCAGCTTTCATGTAATTCCACTTTTGGGGAGCCAGTCAAGAGTGAGTAAGCTCATATTTTCAAATATAACCAACATTAAGGCTTAATGACTCATGCATACGGTTCTGTAAATGAGAGACACTATCAGCGGCTTTCCCAGTCTATTGCTGTCAGTTGTGTCATACTACAATTTCTGTCACTCATTGCAGACCGATGCATCAGATGAGCACCAGCTGCCGAAAAGCTATCTTTTTGGTAGTATCTTCATACTCTTAAGCTTTCCTAAACCCGCCACATACTGAGTCCATGGAAGCATCTTTCCATTGTAATTCTTGTCCAGTTTTTTCCTGTTACTGTATGCCATTGGAATAAATGCAAAATTCTTTTTTAAATAGTAACATTTGTCTCACTGATTTTCATCCAAATGTGAGTTTTCATACACATGGGTCTCTCAGATGTACCACTGCTTAAGCCGTTGCTTGTACAGGTGTCAACACTGTAGAACCCGTGGGCAGCCTGATTTTGTAATTTAACTCGACTGATCGCGGGATCAGAGATACTACTGTTTTCTTCAAATCTCACATCACCAGTGGTGCCACAGAGGTGTGGTTCAAGTGACTCATACTCATGAAGTTTATTTATGTTAACCAGGGTAGTGATCATACAGAAGTGATTTTTGATGTCTTCTATATGCTGGACTAATGTTTAACTGAATCAAGGTTTTAATCACAGGACTGTAATAATGGAACACCGACCATCAGCATAAATGGTTAGGATCAAGATGCCAACTCCACAAAGGTTCCTGATCATGTAACAGTGAAAGAAGATATGTAGATTTAACTCAGCTGAAGAGAAAATGCACTGAGTAACTGAGTAAAAAACAGTGAATTTCCAGGGCTCTATTTTAGGCTACTTCAAGCAAACAATTGTGATTCTAAATATGCAAATAGGAGTGTTCTTAAAGACAGCTTAGAAAATATTTTAAATAAATAAGAGATACGGAATAATTACAAGATTTTTAAAGAATGGGTAGCACCATCAGGAAAACCTGATAAAATACAGTAAATACAAGCATGGGAGTGCTTCTAACTACCACACAGGCTATACCATTATGGATTATATATGTTACAAGCATCTGAAAAAAGTAATGTTCCTGAGTCTATAACATGGTGCCAGCAACTCTTCTCTTGGTCATAATGACCCTCCACCTGATTCTTCTTAAAAGATTGTTTAGATTCTCTTAATTAAAAAATAAATAAATAAATGGAAAACCAGCATTCTGCAGGGTAAAGATACAGCCTCAGTATCATATCTATTTCCAATACCTCTAGGTCTCATATAGGATCCATAGACACTTTTAGAAATCAAAAGGGGGTGGTGGCTACAGTCCAGTACTTTATCTGGAAATGTCCCCCTTGCCATAAAAAAAGGTTGAAAAACTGAGAAGGCAGAAAGCATTTGTGGGAAGGGATGCCAGAGGGGTATCCAGGAGGAATTTAACCCTTTTCCCTCTAGGAAATGGGTATATTGTGACTGTTCACATCCTTCATGGTAGCTATTATGGAACAATCCTCAGGATACATTCTCAGAATTGCAAATGCTGGGGACCTCTGCTCCTGTGGGTAGGATATAGATTCAGTAGTAACAAAACTAGTTGATTTATCTTCAGATCACTAATAAAAGTCAGATCTAAGCTGCAATCCTGTACAGATTCACCTAGAGTCAGTGGGATTATTTATTGGTAAATATGCATAAAGAAACATCCTCTTAGAAGTTGACTGTGACTCCTGGGAACTTTGTGGACACATCCATGTAATTCTCCTGGATGGAGACAATATAGAACTGCTTTGATATTTTTGTTGAGCTTTCCATCCTAGCCACCAGTCCTAGCATTGCTGGGTGTCTCCCATCCAAGTACTAATCAAGATCAACCCTGCTTAGTTTCCAAGCCTAATCAAGGTCAGCCAGGAGCTGCCACCTGAGGCAAGTAGGCAGGGGACTATGTTATAAATAAAGTTAATCCAAGCAGTAGCAGAAACAAAATTCATTAATAACATAAATATTTTTACATGAACTATGGAAAGCTATTTGTCAACATTATACTACAGATCAATGGTTGGAACATCACATTGTTCCTTAGGTTTTTCAAGTCTTCTCAGCAAAAGCATCTAAACTCATCAGATAATCTAAGGTACATATATTTTATCCTCATTTGTGATTTCATAGGTATTTTATACACCAGTTTCCTCCTTTAGGTTTCCAACTAATTGTTTTAGTAGTACGATTCCAAGCGTACAGTTTCCTTATGCCAGTTTGTTACTACTGTGCATCTAATTTTCATTGCTCTGGTGCAAGCAAATGGTTGAAAAGACTCTCCCCATCTCTGCTACTGAAGGGAGGCTCTTCAGCAAAATTGACCCAATTACAGACAGTATTATACAAGTGAGAATTTAGGCACTTTGTATGTTTTCTTTGTATTACTAATCTTCTAATTCAAGCTATTTTTTTTCTTGTATTAGTCCTCTTCAGCATAATAAAAACTACTTCTCCGTATTCAAACATTAGATTTCTTCTTCACACAGTATGTGTCTAACCCAGGGTTTTCTAAACCACATCAGAGGTTTTCCAATGCAGTTTAGAAATAAGTGACAAACTTCTCTAGTTTATCTATCACTGCTGTCTTTTTCTTCAGTGACAGAAAGTTAAAAGTGCATATGTGGATCTCATTGATGAGATTAGAATCTAATATTCACAATGGCTGGAATCCAAGGCTCTTCCTCTTCTGTAGGTGGACCTTCTTCCATCAATGGAATCCAGGGAGAGTCAATTCCATCTTCCCTACCGTGACCCTGCCTACATCCTCAAATCCTGCTTTGCCCTGCCCCCAGAACAGAACACAAAGCTCTTTTATTTCTCTGATATCAATATTGGAACTGAGTTTCAATAGGTTTTATAGTAATACTGCTCACTCAAGACTGTGATTAGTGTGGGTTCCTAATCAGCAAAAAGAAAACATTCCTTGTGGATACCAATATTATATTACCAAACAACTGGAAAGTGCTAAGATTGTTATACAGTAGGTGCAAAATGAATTGCTGGGCCCACTGTCCTCAACAGTAAACCATTATTGACATTCATTCATCTCAGATCACTTTTTCCTATGACTTTCCTGGGGAGTAGGAAGGAAGAACTTTTTGTCTTAAGAAAGGTTAACATTTCCCTTGGTGTGAGCTTGATTCCTGATAACTACAAGGACATGGACGTGTTGCTTTTTTTGGCAGTGACAGAGAAGTGGTTTGCCATTGCCTTCAGGGCTTTTTTTCACGTTCACATTCTGCTCCACAGTCCTGGATTTTCCTGAGTCCCTATTCAAGTCCGAACCCGGTTTAATCCCGCTTAGTTTAGCTTTTGTGAAAGCAGCCAAGATCAGCCAAATGCTGCTACCAACTGAAGACTGTTCTACTGGTATGGGTCAAGAAGCAGACAAAACAAATCAAAACTCTTTTCCTTCCCCAGCTAATGTATTTTAGCTTTGGGTTCATTTTTCTTATGTCTGTGTTTCTTTTTAAAATTCATTTTTCTTTTATCATTGTGCCCCTGGGCTCTTTTTAACACCAATACAAGATGTCTCTGTTTGATTCATGTGGGATCTAATGATTCTTGGCTTACAACAAAATATTATAACTAACTAAAGCCTGAAATTTTCTTTTCCCAAGATCCCTTTTGAGAAGTTAATACTCTCTTTTTCTTTGCAGGGCGCCTTCACTTTCCATGGCAGCATGATAGACATGCCGTTACTGAAACAGGCCCAAAACATTGTTACACTTGCCACTGCCATCAAGAAAAAATGATCTGCTAAATGAACTTTTCCTGAAGAGTGATTCCAGGAGCTGCTTAAAGAAAGATTATATAATACTTAGAGAAAGAACAGTGTAACACTTCATACTTTATACTTCAGTACAATTCAGAATACATGTCCAACAACTTCAGTCTATTTTTCTTACTGAATGTCAATCAGAGTGGTAAGATTGGAGCCTGTTTCCTATGACAAATGAGTTGTGACAGAGCTGAAAGCAAAACTGTTTCATTTGGAAAACTGGCCAATTAAAATCAACCAGTGATGTGGACAAACAGATTTCAATTAATGTTTGACTCAGAAATTTTTCAGTGAAGAACAGAGTCACCAAGGGAGGAAAGAGTTCCTTATCTTCCATGGGTATGCAGCAAAGTAGCTCTTGGGAGGTGTATTTTGTTGTGCAAAAGAGAGAAGAGCTGTTCTTTGCTTAAAATTCCCTCTTCTACACAACCAGAAGTATTAAAGACGTTTTCAGGAGTTTTAGAGACTTGACACATACAGTATGATGAGATCCATAGACATTCCTTCCTCAACTTCTGTTCCTGTTGCTTTAAGAGTTAAACTGAAGGCAGATGTTCCAGCAGGCATGTCTTCTCCTGCTGAGGATGATAAAAGCCACCTTTTGGCATTGTTCTGTGAGACTTTTAAAGGTAGAACCTCCTTTCTGACTAGATTTACAAATTAGCTTCTTTCAGTCAGAACACGAGTTTAGAATAATTAAGCTAAAATAGCAGCTTGTGATCCAATGGATTTGCTGCATGCAGTAGAAAGTGTAAGCTCAAAATCATTTAATATGTATTAGTTCTTTAAAAGTTTGTAGCTAAACTTTTGTACTCATCAATGAGGAGTAGAGTTAAAACCATCTGTATTTTTTTCAGAAGTTTTAGAAAAGTAAGTAATTAGATGTTTTCCCATTTCACTGCTGCAGAGAGCACAACTGTCATGTGTACCTCTTCCCACCTAAATGGGCACATCATGTTCTTTTCAAGTGCAATGGATATGTGATTTATAAACATGTGCAGTTTGGTATGTCCCTGTAATCATAAGTGCCCATGGAGAAGGGTTTTATAAAAATTGCTTTTTAAAAAGCATCTCACTGTTAAGTCAGACCACTAGTTTTTCTTCGGCATGCTCTGCATTGCTTTTACTATCACCACAAAGGGTGAGAGCAGAGGAATTAGAGGTTGTAAATTTCTTGTCCTTGCTTTCAGAAAGCTTGATTTTTTTTTTCCTTAACACCCAATGATAGCGCTACTTGAATCCCTGCAGATATCCATATTACAGCATTTTCAGCCCTGCAGAAATCTGTCTTGAACATGACCTTGAGGGAAGGGGGTAGTTACCTGTGCCTTCCACAAGCACATTAATAAAGTCTGGTTTTAAATTAATATGTGAAGAAAACTGGGTAGTAATTCCTCAGTATGATTAATCCAAAATAACAGCTTGTGCATGTACTTAGAAGCATCCAGGGTAGAATTATAAATCCATAGACCAAATAGATACCTGATTTTTCTGGCCTCAAATTGTCCTCATGTGCTGGTGACCAATCTCCATCCCCTTGAGAAAAGATCATTCCAGTTCAGCTACCAAAGAGGTTTCTAACAGAACTGAACATAGAAAGAGATTTAACTTAGTGGCAAAGAACAGTCTTTGGTTCAGTCCTGGGCAAAGCTGGGAAAGATCACTCCTTGTGTAAACAAGGAAAAGCTACTGCCCCGCCAGTATGCAGAGGTACTGTACTGTTGGAATGGCCTGGTGTTTGCAGATCTTGTTTGCCTTCTATTTGTATCAGAGCAGAGACCAAGTCCTTCATTCATGTGCTCCCCTTACATTAATCTACTTAATCTACTCCACTTTCCATGGTGCCACCTAAAACCAGGGCAGGCAGTTTTCTGGATTGGTGGTGGGCACCTTTAAAATGTTGAAGCCATGTTGTGAGCATTCTTATAAATTGGCTCATCTGTTTGCAGTAAAGTTGCACTTACAGCCATGCCTTATGATAAAAAGACCTGTTTAACATACCAGTCTCTACTTCCAGCCCCACTAGTGGCTCTGTACATCATAGTTTACCATTTTGTTTGGTTTTTTCAAAGGCAGAAGGGTGCATTTTCAGACAAAGCCCTGGGTGGAACCCACTAATACCCCTTTTTCGAGAAGTCCTATAGGGCCCAGGAGCCTTTCTGCAAAAGATATGTTGGGTGACTACTTCTCTACAGCTTCACCCTATGATGATGATGATGATGATGATGATGATGATTTCCTAAAAGAGTCTACCTTTATTGCACTATCTCCGCACATGTTTACCCACCCTAATTCACTTGGGGTCATTTCAAGATTTGTGTATCAAGCTGAATCTTAAACTAACCATGGTCCCCACCACTTGCTAGACTAATTTGTGGTTGGCCAGGTTGCGCATCATGCAAACACAGCTAAGGAGTTAATAAGATTAGGATACAGGGACTTCTACTGGGGGGGCGGGGGGGAAGTAAACCTGATAATTCTGACCACACAGCTGATACACATAAAGAGGAATGGGACTTCAGTCACACAGTCACAGCCATCTTGACTTTTTTGAACACACACACCCTGTGGATGCCCCTGATAGCATAGCAAGTCCTGCAGGATATGCCTTAGGACTGAAATTAAATACATGCCCTCTCATATTTTGTATGATCTCCTGATGAATATGACTCTGAACAGCCCATCACCTGACTCAAATTAAAGCATGTCGCATCATGTACTTTTGCACCCCATATTTTCTCTTTGCCTACAGCACATAGCCTGTGTTCACATCTTACACTAAGCCACAATTCACTGAAGAAATCACAGATGGATTCCCAGAATATGCTACTCAATCCTCCTATTCAGCGTCTTTCCAGCCCAGATGAATTAGCACCAATCCTTGTTCTTCTGCTTCCAGTGATCAAACCTCCCTCCTTCTTTATGAACTCTTTTGGAACTCTTTTGGTGGGCTTGGTCACTGTTGAAATCATTCCAATGCAAACTGTTTTTTCCTTTTTCACCTGAATGATGGGCCTCTCATCTGGTCAAATTTCTTGTCTAGTAAAATGATTAAAGCAGGATTTATTTCCCCAATGGATGGAGACCAGATTGACTTCCAGCTGCACACAGGCTGCCCCTTGGCATAAATTGCCCTTCGCAAAGCCGGTGGGATGGGAGAGGGCGATGGGAGAGGGTGGCCTTGGCGGAACACACCAGGGCCTTGAGAAGACTCGTTTGCATGACAGTGGCCATGCTGCAGCGGGTCATCTGGGCTGGGCAGCTAACGGGCTTAGCCCGGCTGTTTGGGAGAGGTTAACCCAACTTGTAGGCAGGGTAAATAAACAGAACAAGCTGTCTTTGTCCTCTATTCAGACCGGCCTCTCCTCCCGAAGGCGCGCTGCATTGAAGGCACAGAGATCAGCTTGTGGCTGCCAGAGGGACTCCCAAGGCAGTTGTGAGCGCCAACAATCAGCCAGTTTGTTTCTCTTCCTCATTAAATCATCGCCTTTTGTGCGGGGGCCCCGCAACTTGTGTTTCTTAAGAAACTAACAGAATGCGGAGTTGCAAACTGGGCCTCAACCTTTTCATGACCTACAAGATGCTCTTAGACGGGCACCCCGGGAAAGCTGCACTGTTTACTTAAACGGGTAAATAGAAAACACTTGCAGGAGGTGAGAGGAGACAGCGAGTCATTTAGGCCATCCTCTTAATAAAATGTAAGTGTTTGGACCCTTATACCATGGAAATGAAAGCTCTTTTTGAGCACCAGAAGTGGATCTTTGTGACAAAGGTCAACCCTGAGCTATACAAATAAACATCTCAGGCCACGTGCAGAAATCTTTTGAGTAACCAACGCCTAGATGTTTAAATTAAGGGGTGGGACTTTGTAGGACGGAGGGTGGTGCCTAAAAAATGACCCAAGATAATTCTCTGACTTGTAAAATCTGGAGGTTACTTGCATGTAGTCTTAGACACCACACCACCACCACCACCAAAAGGTGTTCTACAACTATTCTGTGTTTCCTTTGGGCTAGTGTTTTTGGAAAGAAAAACACAAGGGTAAAATACAGAGGGCAGAATTGGGCAGATCTCTCGTAAAAGTCTGAGGTTTGGGCAGGGGGAAGCTGCTCAAACAGTCTTGTCCTTCCCAGTAAAACTAAGGGACTGCACACAACAGAAATAGCTTAAAGGACAAGAAAAGTGACTGAACAGAGAACTGGGGGGTTAGAGACGGAGCTGTTGATCGCACAAAGATGTAGAGCGCAAGCCTTTTTTCCCCTACAAAGTACAGTAAACCCGACTGAATTCGCTGGGATTGAGTGCCATGTAAGTGAATGGAGGGGGGTTGATGATATAATGATACAAGATGACGATTCCTGGAATTTTTCGTTCTGGATTACTTTTTCTGTAAACCAAAGAGGAAGAAAAACATGAGCCCCTGGAATCCCCTCCCCTCCCTTCGATTAAGGCAGATTCGCCAAGACAGCTCACATCCCACACTGCACCACAAAGTAGCCAAGTGCATTCTGTGTGAATCCAGTTGTTCTGTTGCACGGAAATGTACAAACTGGCCCTCAAACCCGTCATCAGGCTGAATCACCACTCGTCTTTGCATTTCTCAAGATGAAAATCCTGTGCATCAACTTTCTCAAAACTGGTGCCCTTCTTCAGATGTGTTGGACTACAATTCCCATTATCCCCAGCCTACACTCTATCTAGACGATGGAGGCTGTAGTTCAACAAATTTGGAGAAGTGCAAAACTGAAGTTAAAAGTAAATTCTATACATAAAAGTGTATAGAATTAAGACGTGAGTGATGTGAAAGTCCACAAAAATGAGCATCCAACTTTCAAGTAGAAGAGATTTTGGCTTTTCTCAGAGGTTTGATTCATTGCTTTAAAGTTTTCTTTTTCGCGTCTATTTTTTAAAAAATGGCAGCTATTCAGCTTTATGTGCAGACCAAAAAACCCCAAACCAATTTGCTTACACGAGGACTTTTATTCCTGAAGAAAGGGACAAGCCTAGTTAAGCCCAGACTCCAAAGCCTGGGCTACGGTGTCTGCAAAGCAGTATCTTCTAACCATTACCACAACCATTACTCACAGTTTACAAATCAGAGTGGCTAAGAAGCCAAGCCAAATAAGCTCCTTATCAGGCCAACCCCCTCAGCAATAATGCAATTGGTTTAGTTTGGCTGAGCATACTGTGGTTTTCTTAATGCCGGTTTTAGCGGGAGGTCCAAACAGAGCAGCCATGCATGGGGAAGGCTGCTATATAACTAAATGTACCTCCATATTAAGAAAGCCCTGTACGTGGGAAGCTAGCAGGCCAAGCAAAGGCTTGGCTAGATGCCAAGTACTGCATGGAAAAAGCAGTCAATTGAACATCCTCTGCAAACCAAAACTCAGGTTTGTTGCTACATTAGATTAGGGTGTGAGCCCCATCAGTCCAGCCAGTGCCTCATTTGGGATGATGGGAATCATCTTCCATCTATCTGGAAGCACCACTTCCACACTTGGGAGATGGCACAATTTGACCCAGATGTTGAACCAACGTGCCTGTGGACAGGAATGTGCTTAAATGTCCTTCATTCTACTTGATTCAGATTATCTGTCACTGCTGCTCTTTCTCCCCTCAACCATGAGAGTAAAGGCTACCCTCTTAAGCAGGCTTGGCTCCTTGGAAGTTCCCAGCATTGACCTTCTCCTTCAGGTCCAACTCTCTCCTACTCTCTTCCTGGACAGCCCATGTAGTTTTGTTCACAGTGAGAGTTTGGAACTGCTTTGCCACTGCCACTTTCCAGGTTTTGACTCCTCTGGCATTTTCTGGTGGTCTCCCATCCAAATGCTATCTGGATCCGATCCTGCTTAGCTTCCAAGCTCAGACAAGGTCCACCCGGAGAGAAAAAAAAGTAAAAAGGAATGCAGTGCTCCCAACCTTGGCTGGTCCAAGGAGGTGGAAGTGATCAGTTTGACAGGGCACTGGGATGCAGTGTGATGTCTGCTCCTCTCCTTCCCATTGTAGACTGCAGGGTAAGAGACCCCAGGGATGGGAAATTAAAATGGATTTCTCTATTCCTCCCCCCCCCCCCCCCGTTTATTTTCATTATTCTCAATCGTACCCTGGGGATATGGATTCTTGTATTCTCTTAATCCTTGGCCTGGAGGGGTTTTTCAAGCATAATGTCTTCATTGTTTTATGGGAAACTTAATGACAACCGAGGATAGCCCTTGTTTAACTGATGGAGCAAAGGATGGTGAAAGAGCAATCCTGGAATCATGGTCAGGTGGAATTTGGGGAAGGGGGACTTTAGCCTTAGTTTGGGGCTGTCCAGTTCTGTTTTCACCTCCACAGCCAAGACCTGCACCTTCACTTACAGGAAATC